TATATATATATGAACAACACCCAAAGTTTGTTGTGAGTTGTGTTTTTGTTATTTGTTTTGAGACAAGGTCTCACTAAGTAGCCCAAGCTAGCCTGAACTCACAGTGACCCTTCTGCCTCAGCCTCCCAAGTGCTGGGATCACAGAGGTGTGCCACCATGCCCGGCTGGAATTGTCAAGAGTTATGTCCAGGTAGGATGTTTATTTAATTTAATTTATTATTATTATTTGAGACAGGCTGTCTTTATGTAGCCCAGGGTGGCCTCAAACTCCCAGCAGTCCTCCTGTCTCAGCCTTCCGAGCGCTGGGGTGACAGGCGAGTAGCACCACAGCCAGCATGTCTGTTTATTTATTTAAGACTCTGAACAGAAATACTCTGAGATAGGAGAGGTGTATCTCTGAGCACAGGAAGCTGCGGCTATCCCAGTAGTGTGGAAATGGTCCAGGGTCTTTCCGGGCAGGAATCTAGGTCTCCCCACTGTGGCTTTACACCAGGGAGCTCCATTTGAAGTCTCTGAGCCCCCTTTGGGGTGCTGTGCTGCGGTGCTCAGGGTTAGAAACAGGTGCCCAGCTCCGCACGTCCCCAGGAATCTCCTCGCCGCTCGTTCCTCCCCCCACCACTCCCTGCACTCAGCCAGCTGTGGACCATAGGTCAGCCAGCCTATGACACTCAGGGCCAGCTCTGAACCCCGGTGACACCCTGAGCCCAAGGTTGCCGCACACTTTCCCCTGGGAGCTCCTCAGCTGCCTGGCTCCATTTCCTCACCACCTGTCCTGGGCATCCAAGTCTGTCCATCGCCCTCCTAAACACCTGCCAACCTACCCTCACCTCCCCCACACCTTTGCCCCAGGCCTGACCCAAAGCTCAGAACAATACCTTTCCAGCTCCCCCCTCCCCGTTTCCACCGGCCCACCCTCCTTGTGGCCTTGTACCAGACCCTCCTGTACCAGGTCCTCCTGCCTCAGCCTCCAATCCCAAAGTGGTTTCTCTGCAGAGGGTGGGGTGTCCACCTTCCCGAATAAGGATCCAGCATATCTGACCTCTCCCCTTCCTCAGACCATGTATGCGTGCACAGAGGCTGCCTGCAGACTGATGAAGAGCCCTCACCATACTCTTCAGATATAATTTTTTTTTTTTTTTTAGACATAGGTTTGCTATATAGCTCAGACAGTCCTTGAACTCACCAGCATAGGCTGGTCTCAAACGTGCCATGATTTTTCTGCCTCAGCCTCCCCGGTGCTGTGATTACCGGTGTGTACCACCTCTAAAGGCTAGCCTGAATTACATGGTGACACCCATGTGTGCATAGTTGGGGGGAAACCCAGTGTAAGTGTCATATGGGGGCGTCACCCCACTCCCCTTCCCGCTGCCCTGCCCCAGTCCCCCATCCCGAGGTAGCTGGTCGACTACGGCTGTTAGATAAACGAAAGGGGAAGGAGAAGGGTGACAAGCGCCATGAGAGACCCACAGGACACGCTGCACTAGACGTAAGAAGGTCCACAAGAGGGAAGTTGTCGGCGCTAGGACCACCCGGGCCGGCCGCCGAAAGCGTTCCCGTACCCTCCCAGGGAGGAAGCCGCAGGGATCGGTTCTCGGGTGCCATCTGCTGCATCTAAGCCGCCCTTGCAGCTCCTTTCGGGCGCCCCGCCCCTTCCCGGAACAGACCCCGCCTCCGAGTTCCATTGGCTGGCCAGTGTTCTCTTCCGCCCTTCCGGGCTCAGCCATTCGGCGCCCTCAAGTGGGCGGGGCTTGCCTCCCGGGGTGGAGTATGCGCTCGGATTGGCTCTGCTGAAGGCAGTGACGTGGCCGGGGAGAACTGTTTGTGTCTGAACTCTGGATTGGTGGTGGGGCGGGGGGTGGGGTCTCCGACCGGAAGCGGAAGTGGAGCAAAGATGCAGGTGTGGGGCTCCGGGATGGGTGGATGGGACCCTGGCCTCGAAATATTATTCTAGCTCCGCGAAGTCCCTCCCGGCCGGTAGCTCTGGCCCTGCAAGGTGGCGGCCGGGGCCGGGACATGGCCGCGCTCACGACCGCGCCCCCTTCGTGTCCCCCCAGGACCATCAGAACGTGCCCATCGACATCCAGACCGGCAAGCTGCTCGGTAGGAGGATGCCCCGCGCGCCGCTGCCCTTTGCCCCTGTCTCCAGTGGACGCCCCGAGCGCGGGGTGGAGCGCCGACCAGCCTTGGTCTGTGGCAGGACCTGTCTCACCAGGAGCAGCCCAAAGGACCCATATGTAGTCTGTGTTTGACCTGCGTTTTCTGCTATAACATTTGTGGCGCGTCCGTTATCAGATCCTGTTATTCATAGTCCGCGTGGTGGTGCATGCCTGTCAGCCCAACACTCTAGGAGCTGAGGCAGGACGATGGCACCTTTGAGCCAAGACCCTGCTCCAAACTGCAAAGTTTTGGGTTTTTTTACCTTTTTGTCTTTAATGGGCTGGGGATGTAGCTCAGTGTGAAAGCCCTGGGTTCAATTCCCAGTAATGCAAAAAGAAAAAAGAAATCAATCATTATTTAGGGACAGGAGATAAATATTTTGATTTAAAGGTGGTTAGTAACTAAGTTGCAGATGTTAAGTGGAGCTTTAGTATGACTGGTTCACTGTGTATGCTTCATGGGTTTTACCAGGAAAAATAAAATAAAAATGGCCCCTTAGAAAGCTTCCAGGGGCTGGGGAAATGGCTCAGTAGAATAAGCACTTGCCTGGCAAGTGCAAGGGCCTGAGTTCAATCCCTGGTTCTGAAAAAAAAAAAAGAATAAAAAGCTTCCATTGAGGGGCCGAAGAGATAGCTCAGCAGTCTATAGTGCCTGCTTAGGCAAGCACAGGAAATGCAGTTCGATCCCTGGCACCACGTGCAGTGCCAGCCCCACTCCCAGGGCTGCTGAGCTGGCCACAAAAAAAAAAAAAAAAAGCTTCCGTGGGGCCAGGGATATAGTTCAGTGGCACAGCATCTGCCTGGCAAGTGCAAGGTCCTGAGTTTGATTTCCGGCACCAAAATAAATATGAAAAACAAATATTGGGGCTGGGGCGATAGCTCAGTAGAATAAGCGCTTGCCTGGGGGCTGGAGAGATGGCTCAGTGGTCTAAAGCACCTACTTGAAACAAGCTTGGCAAAGCACAAGGACCACGGTTCAATCCTCCAGCACGGTTCAATCCTCCAGCACCACATGCCAGCCAGCCCCGCCCCCTGGCCACACACACACACACACAATAAATAAATGTAATAAATAAAAATAAATAAATATAAAAAAAAAAAGAATAAGCGCTTGCCTGGCAAGCGCAGGGTCCTGAGTTCAATCCCTGGTACCGCAAAAAAAAAAAAAAAAAAAAAAAGCTTCCATCTTCCCTTCATTGTGGGGAAATGACCCCAAGACTTGTTTGTTTTTGTTTTGTTTTGGTACCAGGGATCAAACTCAGGACCTTGCACTTGCCAGGCAAGCACTTATTCCACTGAGCTATCTCCCCAGCCCCCAAGACTTGTTTGCACTTAGAGAACCTCTAATAGACAGGCTACTTCTGTACCAGGCAGGGGCCTCTTCCAACCACATCAGGGCACGCACTGCTTTGGGTCTTTTTTGAGACAGGGTCCCCAGCCGCAATTTAGGCTGGCTTTGAACTCCCTATATGTCCCAGGCTGGCCTCCAACTCATGGTGATCCTCCTGCCTCAACCTCCCGAGTGCTGGGATGACAGGTGTGTGTCCCCATTCCCAGCACCAGTGGAGTTTCTTTGGCTTCAGTACAGACTTGTCTCAGGTCTCCCTAAGCAGCCGGGGGGTGTGCTGTTCTTGGTCATGCGAAAGACCAGTGGCAGTGCTGCCTCGAGTAGGCGGGCTGCCCCCACCAAGAGCTGGGCTGGCGCCTGACA